GGTGTCTCTCATCTTCCTCTTGACAATTCTTATGTAATATTCTAATTTTCTGAGACACTGCATTTTGGGTTTTCATTAAAAGTAAGCCATAATCATCAAAATTTCAAGAAATAAAGGCTTGAAATATTTCACTATTTCACTCTAATCTATATAATATATGGGTTTCACTTTCTGAAATGAGTGACACAAAATATTGACCTTTTTTTTTATTTTTTATTTTTAAATATTGAACTAATTTTCTGAGATGTACCTGTATATTAAAATAGAAAATTTTTTGTAACAAGTTTGTAGGTCGGGCAGAAGGAGGCGGGAACCGGCGGACATTCAAAGAAACTTTAATAAAATATACACAAAATAGCGCGACAGCCCCTCGCGGACGACTGTCGCGCACAAACGAAACCAAAACACAAAATAAACTCCAGGCCTGGTCCTCTCTCGTCCGACACTGTCGTCACTCCTCCTTTTATCCTTCCGGAGCTCCTCCGTGAGACTCGAGACTGGTGGGGGGTGCAGGTGTCGCGCATTAGCATTTACTTCACCGGCCTCGCTCCGTTCCCACGGCTCTCGGCCCCGCCCCTCTCGTCACACTTTTATTTTAAATTGCAATAATATTTCACAAAAACAATATTTTCCCAAACTTTTGAATGGCACTGTATCTATATTTACATATATTTATACATTAAATCTATATTTACATTTTAATTTAGAATGTAACTTATGGTTTAACATTTTATTTTTATATTTTATGTAAAAAAATTAAACATTTGACACACTTATTTTATTTCAGTAATTTTTTCTTTAAAAAGAAAGCAATAATAGCTGATAATTATTCAGGGAACCCCAAGGCAGCCATAAAATAACCCTTCTAATTGTTCTAGCCGAGTATTTATTTCCTACTTTCTCCTTCAAGCCCATTAAGTATTTCTGATCTTTCTTGTTATTGATGTGCAGGTGTCTGCTGAGAGTGAAGTCAATAAGATGACCAATGCCAACCTGGCTGTGGTGTTTGGGCCCAACTTGCTGTGGGGGCAGGATGCTTCCATGACACTCAGCGCGATCGGACCAATCAACAACTTCACCCGCATCCTGCTCGACCTACATCAGGAGGTCTTTATCCAGTGAGGAGCGGGAGAACTTTTCACGAGGACTCCTCTCCGGTTATTGTCCCTCTCCGTTCCATAGCTTTGCTCCTAATGTGCCCCGTCCTTTGTGTCTCCCTCAGTATTGCCAAATGCATGAGTATTTTAACTGGGTGAAGCTATGAAAAAAAAGGATACTGGAGGGCACAGAGCGGTCAAGCTGTCACAAACGTTTAGGCTGTGATCAAATTCTGACAATCGTCTCCTTTTCTCTCCTGCAGAAGTCATGTAGCTGTTGTCAGACATAATGGTACTGCACAGGCACAAGAGTTTTTATATGGTGTGTTAGCAGAGGCCTAAATCAATAAACCAACAAAGTGTACAGGTAGCTGCTTTAGTTTGTTTTGGTAGCTCATCAGCTTGCTTTGGATATTGTTTGTTCGACTTGACCGAATTCATTTCAGTTCAGAAGTAAAATTAGACTACATGCACACGTCCTCATTTTTGTAAGCCATAGATGGCACAAGCTATGGACAAGTATAAAGCACTACTACTCAAACTTGAAACACTTATTTTAAACATGCATTTCTTATTACATAAAATATATGGTATTATGTATTGTCTCAAAGAACTTTCATTCAGTCTTCATTTATATTATCATATCATTACATAATCTTTTTCTAGAATCTTTTTGTGGCGTCTCAGTGATTCCAGGAACAGGGCAGATGCTTATGGCCAGCACAAATTTCCTGATGCTGAAACAGAAAAGGAAATTTATTTTTCTGATCAAAACCTCCGCTTCTTCTATCTGTATGTGTGTGAGTTTTGTATGGTCTGTTCAGTAATTCCGTTGTATTATTCTACCCCAGACATATTTATTTTGGCCAAAGATTATATGGTTAAAATGTTTGTGTGATCAATTTTATTTGTTACTAGAAGACGTACTGCCTGTCGGGGACGGTGCCATTACACATGGGCGCATTTGAAACAAAAGCCAGAAGACAAAAATATCAAAGTACAATTTGATGTAATTTTGTCGTCTTAAGTCAAATTGTGGTTTTATCTATGAGGAAACATATATAACTCGTGCAATGAGTTATTACTGGAGTGCATCAAATCCAAGTACAGCATCCAATTGAGTCTGGTTTCATGGGTCTGAATTCCAAAAGAACCATAAAGCAGGTACTTGGGCACTAATTATTTAGCACTAATGAGTTGTGTCATATGCCTTGATATTGAATTGTAACTGTTTACTGTGTCATGTTAACGTCCTATTCATGTCAATCCATCCGAGCATTGACATGTGGACCAGTGGCTTAAATAGTTTTAGACAAGCGCCCTCAAACCCAAGTGTCTCTGTGCCTTAATGGAGTGAACTGGTGATGATATTAGCTGTTAAATTCCCTTTCTCTGGACAGATCTGTGAACTTTGTGCCATTTTGTTGTACCTGTATCCAAACATCTACCTGTACTGTAGTGTATTTCTGGTTTCCAGGTGGAACTTTGCATTACTTCTTTTGTGAAGGTTCTTTTCATCCATTTTGGCTGTTAAAGTGTATTCTGTGCTTTTGAAATCTTTACTTTTGTATATCATGTTGTGATTTCAGAGTAATAAATCGTTAGAGATGGTGTAAAAAAAAAAAGTCCCTCTGTGGGTTTGTTTTATAAGCTTTAGAACGTCCCCTGGTTGTGGTGAGCAAATAAAAACACTTTTACCACAGTTTTCTTATAAAAGCAGGAAGATATATTTAATTGGCTTTTACATATTTGTCCCCAAAATAACTACCCTGTGAGTATAATAAAAAACACTAATTATAAATACAGGTGATTATATCTTATTTTGGAACACAATCATTGCCAACACCATCATCTAGAAAGGGCAGAGATGGCATATTAATTAAGAATACAAACGCAACATGATTAGTTAAAGGTCACACATTCTGTTTTTGTTCAATTTAAGTGATAAAATAAACATGTTTGAGGTAGGCTTCATATAAAATTGATCTGCTGCACTGGACAGAACTGTGTTATTTGAAGTTGGAGAAACAGGTCGTGCCCCGCTTATAAAGGCGCATGTGTGTGTATTTGACAGAGCAACGGTGTGGGTAATGGTAATTCGTGTGCGTGTCTATAATGTGAGAGGGACTGTGTGATGATGTGCATGCACTGTTCCTGTAGGGAGGAGATTCTCTGGCTCCTCACACCCAGCTGAAGCTCAGTTTCAGGGGCCGTAGAGCTCACCAGAGGATACAGAGCCTTGCTGACCTGCAGGGAACACAAAAGTTCCAGGAGCGTTCTAAATTCCCACATTTCACTTACATCCAGTACTTCCACATACTCGATGCAGTGATATTTACCTGCTCCAGTCCAGTGAAGGCCACCCCAAGGTTCACCCCATTTCGGAAGAACGTCAGTGTTCCAGCGCTCAAGTCCAGCAAAACCCCAATGACCGTATTTCTTTCATAAAAAGGCTCTGTGTATTTTCGACTCCTCCCATTATGCCAGACGAAGCCTTTGTATGATAGACCCCAACTCTCACTGTCGATGCCTTTGAAGAAAGAAACAGGACGATCAGAACAATAACATAAAACAGTTTCAACGATTCAAAGAAAAACATTGTGTGCTTGTCCTGTACTTTTCCTCCCTTGTTTATCTATGCGGTGTTGATGGGACACAATTCCTGTTTGATAATTAGATGATGTCATTCATTTTTAGGTTGTCAAGTAAGATCAACCTGAGGGAGTTTATGTCTGTGCTGAGTGGAGCTGGGCTGGGCTGATTTGGTTGAAGAAGATATGAGCATTCCTAAGAGGAACATGACTCACCTATGAGGTTAACAAACTTTTGATCCCCTGTGTGCAGAAGTGCATTTTGGGTACCGACCCCCACCATCACAGAGCTTCCATATGGAGGCTCAAGGAACTCAATCTCCCAGTAATGCTCACCGTGAGTGAAACCTTTACACAGAAATATGGTAATCGATCATTATCAGAAAATTCTACCACAACACATGATAGTTATCGTCAGGACTGCTGAGCAATACTCTACAAGAGAATAACAAAAGCCTTACTAACATTACAATTGCTGGTTAAAAATGAACTTGAACCAGGCTTGATGCAAAGGAAACTAGCACTTAATGTACAACTACTTATCACTGAACGTCTATACTCCTAACACAGTATCAGCCCGATTAAATGTAACATTGTATTTGAGCTGACTTGTGAACAACAAAAGCAGCGCTGTTCACTCACTCACTAGTCTCACCTTTGGTGCCTCTGACCCCAGCAGTTCCTTGACTGTCCAGCAGAGGGCTGATATGAAAATATACGGCTTGTCTGCACAGAGACAGATGAGCATCAGGAGATTTACTGTCCGGATCCCATTCCCAACTCTCCCAGGTGTGACCTCTAAAAGAGCGCAACATTTGCTCTCTACAACACAGCATATCATACATATCAATGGCTGTACAGTAAAAAATAATAATAATAATGTAGCCACCCAATATCCCCATTACCAAAAATAGTTGGCCATCATTCGAATATTTCTAAGTTAATATACATAAGTTATTATATACAGACAACGAGTGCACTATGCTGCGATATCTAGCCTATTTCTTGATATTTCACAGAGCGGAGACCATTCAGACGAGTGAGCACGACGTACACATCACATATACTATAGAGAAAACATACGTGACTTACCAAGTGTACACTAAGTTATGTAATCCCATGTGTAATGAAGAAGAAACTAACACTTTCTTTTAGACACTTGAAATCCGCTTTTAAAAAGGAATAAAGCCTACACAGTCAAGTTTACATGTGGGTGTTCAGACAGCTGGACGATAGAAAAACATTTCACAACTGCTGTCAAAACAACACTGGATTTATCTAAATATGGAAGTAGGCGTGTATTTCGGCGCTCATGAATTTTAAAATGTTGCTTGGTAGCCTTCCAGTAACGCACCCTAATTAATATTCATAAGCCAAGCCTGCGCTAACGAATATTCATTAGCTAGTGAAGTCCAAGGTGTGCCTAAAGAAGACACAATGTTTTAGACCAGTTCAGCATGTAGGGGAAACAAAAACAGGCCTGTCTGAAATAAATCCGTTTATTACACAACATTTTCATGCCATATTAACAAAGTGAGGAGAGAAAGAAGACACTTAAAATAATAAAAGAAGGTCCAGCTCCTAATGACTTGCCAACATAAGCTTAAAAAAAAAGCATTCCTCACCGATTAAAGACCTGACGAGTAGTAATGGTAAACTGTCCCTAACTTAAAAAAAAAAAAAGATGAAAAGTCATGGTAAAATGCATTTACAGGAAGCAGGTAAGCAGACAGACTCACAATTCACTATTGTCAGTGTTCACTTGTAGTGTCGTTCCTGTTTAAGCCTATAAAGTAAAAACTGGACATTTTCTTAGATAATTCACATTTTCCCTTGAATAAAAATGGCAAGAGAATTCAGATGGTGCCAGCAGTACAATGAGAGAAATCTGCTTCAGTGACTAGTCAGTGAACTGCATGTGGTGTTGTGATGGGCAAAACAAAAATAAAGGCTGGTACAGGTTTACACATTCATTACAGTGAGCTTTACTTACACAGTTCTGCTATTTTAATAAATACAAGGGTTGGAAATTAAATGTTGCTCTGTTCCTGTAACAGATGCTGCTCTCCTTATACCTCAGTTCACTTTTTTCTTGAATGATGATTCTCTTCATAGCTCATTGCACAAGGAAAAACTGACACAAAACATGGTTAATGTAGACATCCAATGAGGGATGCTTCAGTGAAGGAAGCAAGAAGAGTAAAGAAGTTGAGAAGGATGCAATCTCTGTTCTGTTTTATTGTAGCGTGTCCACAAACGCGTCAAACTCGTCAATGTTCTTCTCATAAATGGCCAGTTTCTCTGGAAGAGAATCCTGCAAAAATATGTTCACTGTACCAAACATCTAATAATGAACACATCACAATGTTACTATGACATGAATGTGGATAAGTCACCCTATGTATAATTTGCATACAGATTCTTTTTTTAAGTGAACTACATACAAAAAATACTTGCAATTATTTCAATGGTTCTTAATTTTATTATCCACACAATAAAACTTTTTCCTTAAGACTTTAACACCAACCCTGGTTTGGTGCTGAAAACGGTAAAATCTGTAATGTAATTTTACCTACAGTATATGAATACTCTCTGTGTTTCTACTCTATGTACAGTGGGTACGGAAAGTATTCAGACCCCCTTAAATTTTTCACTCTTTGTTATATTGCAGCCATTTGCTAAAATCATTTAAGTTAATTTTTTTTCCTCATTAATGTACACACAGCACCCCATATCGACAGAAAAACACAGAATTGTTGACATTTTTGCAGATTTATTAAAAAAAGAAAAACTGAAATATCACATGGTCCTAAATATTCAGACCCTTTGCTCAGTATTTAGTAGAAGCACCCTTTTGATCGAATACAGCCATGAGTCTTTTTGGGAAAGATCCAACAAGTTTTTCACACCTGGATTTGGGAATCCTCTGCCATTCCTCCTTGCAGAGCCTCTCCAGTTCTGCCTTTCATGCTTTAAAGGTCAACCTGTCCCATATAGACTGCAAAAATGTTCAGTATGAGCTTTGACAATAATTTGTTTGTTTCTCACCAAATCCTCAGCCATAGACTGAACGCTGACATCGATGGACAGGCTTGCAAGTTGAGGAGGGTTTTGAAACTCTTTATAGAAAGTTCCCAGATCCATTGGCAGAAGGTCATCCTTAGAGAATGCTGGTTTCTGTTTGGCACACAATCACAGAACTGGTCTTTAAACATAATATGGACCATATTCGGCTTTCACCATACACTTAGAACAATATCTGGTCCTGGAGTTTAGTGGCTACCTTAATCAAACTCACCTCCCTGTCATTTTTAAGCAATTCTGATGATTTAAGTTAGATTTTTCATGTGTGTTTATTTAGGAGCTAGTTTTTTCTTCTTTTTACTTTTCTAGTAACATTTGTATTGATTTTAGCCCAACACTAGAGCTCTGATCAACACCAGAACAGTGTTGCTCTGTCATGCAGAAACAGACTTTTAAAAAAAAAACATGATCAAGCAGGTCTCTTTGGACCTCTCTTTTGCAACATCAACTCATTAGCTTCAAAGACTTCCAAATGGTATGGGATACTGCATCATTTAATATAGTGTATTTATGAAATAAAAATAAAGGAGAGTAAGGTCTTCTTCAGATTTATTAAACATCAAGCATATGTAGCTTTCTCTCAGGTCAGAGTCTAAGTTTCTTTTTTTGATGAATAATTGACTTGTCTGGATCACTAGATGCTCTGTCAAGGGATTGATAAAACTCCTTTCTGCTGTCAAACCTCTCACAAGATCTTGATAAGTGTATTTTTATTATGTGTTGGTGCACTTACAAAGTCAACCATGACAAAGTCGTCTTGTGGCAGCCCCCCGCTGTGGCTCGAGGTGTTTGAGTGCAGGCTGCCTTGCAAAGGAGATGAAGGAGCCGGGGATGGAGGAGGGTGCACCTGCAAACAGAGAAAAACACCTCTAAATCACACACACACACAAAAAAGACATGAGAAGACAGTGGACGATGCAGTGGGTTTTCTTAATATGAAATGCATAGTAAGTATGGGTGTTTTTTGCTTTCAATACCATTGGGTCGTTCTCCTGCAGGTCATAGGCTCTTGGAGCGAATGCAGCAAAAGGAAGATCCAAACTGGTTGTTGTCACCTGAGTTACACATATACAACACATCAGAATGCAATTTCACCTCCCAACGAACATGACAGTGACTTTTTGCACTTATCAGTAATACTTCTTTTACTATACACTTATTAAACACGTTAATAACAAGTCTTGAATTCATAATATTAACAAATACAAGCTTTATATATACACTACCCTTCAAAGGTTTGGGGTCTGTACAAAAAAAAAAAAAAAAAAGAAATGAACATTTTTAGTCATAAAGAATGCATTAAACTGATCAAAAGTCAGTTACAACATTTAAAATGTTACAAAAAGATTTCTATTTCAAATAAATTATGTTATTTTGATCTTTTGATTCATTAAAGCAATTCAGAAAGAAATTAAGGTGCGCTATGTTGCTCAACATTGACAATAATAATAATAAGAGGAAAGCTTTCTTGCATATTAGATTGTTGTCTGAAGCATCATGTGACACTGAAGACAGGAGTAATGGTAGCTGAAAATTCTGTTTTGCTATCACAAGAGTAAATACAATTTTACAACATATTAAAACAGAAAACTGTTATTTTTAATTGTAACAACAGTTTTTACTGTTTTTGATTACATTTAACCTAGGGGAGCTTATGAAACTCTTTTCAAAAACATTAAAAAACCTCAACGACCACAAACTTTTGAATGCTAACTGTATGCTTAACTGGTCAGTAGTTCATGTAGATTTTTATGAGAATGTAAGAACTATTTCAATGCACATGAAGGTAATTTTTGTTTTCTAAGCTATTATATATTATTAATGTATTCTAACCTGAGTGGTGGCTTTGTTGACAAAAGCTCCAACTTTCCTGGTGAAGGTGGTCTCTAGAGCATCAGAGGGGGACACAGTCTTCACCTCGCTACCACACACACACACACACACACACACACACAAACATGGAATCAAATTTAGCTGAACTGACAAATGAAAAATCAGCATTGAACAGTCTGAATCTCCTCACAGTGACTCTTACCTACTACAGGATGTGGGCGGTGCCGGCTGAGGGGATTGTCCAGTGGGGCATGAAGGGATACGACCATGCTCAGCTGCAGTGCCATGAGTAGGTTGAGCCGGCACCTGTGGGACTCCACCTTCTTTGCCGGGCACAACCATCTGATTAGGAAGAGACACATACTTGGCCACTTCAGTCAGGTCAAAACAACACACACACTTCTGTAAACAGGTGCAAGTAATTCCAAGCAGCTGTTCTACATCAGAAGGGATGAGGGGCATGAAGTTATGATAGGGAAAGTGGTGCTTTTACATGTGCGTAACGCGTATGCACTGGTGTGTAGTGTGCTGTACCTGGTGAGGATGTGCAGCAGCAGTACAAGCTGTAGGATGACACAAATCCACAGTTCCCAGGGCAGGAGTCTGATATGACAGACGAGAGCTGTACAGCTGAGAGACAGAGAGAGATTCATATCCCAATAAGAGTCAAATGTCAGATCAAGAGGCCTTTTTAAGTCTGTATAAACCTCACTTGCAGAGCAGAGAGCAAGAAGGATCAGAGTAGCTATCAGTGCAAACACACAAATTCTTCAAGTAAAACAGCAGGCAGGTCAGCTCAAGGAAAAGGCAGCAGTGATTGTGTGCGTTTGCCTGAGCAGTGCTCAAACAATCTGTTGTGTGAGTGATACTGTATAACCCTCTTCATTAAAAGGTTATACAAGGGTATGAAGGGTAAGCAGTGGCATATAGGTTACTGGGGCAGGCCACACACACTTTTTACTTTAATTAATATATCAGCTGCATGCGTGTACACACACTTCTCTCACACACACACTGGACTCACTTGCTGTGAGATGCCAAGCCCCATGAGGGGAACCTTCAGTGTGGCCATCAGAGTCGGCTTAGGTGTCTTAAAATGTGCCTGACTTACTGTACACACACACTACATGCACACAGAAAGAAAGAAAGAAAGAAAGAAAGAAAGACAGAAAGAAAGAAAGAAGAGAAAACAGACAGACAGCGCTGGAAGCAGGGTCAAGGCTAGAAGAGATACAGCTGCGGCTACTGGGAACACACTGTACAACAATAATTACTGTTTTTGCATTATTGTAAGGGGTAGGTTTAGGGTTTGTGTAGGTGTAGATGTTCATAAAACAATCTAATAGGCAGAAATATTAATTTAGCATAAATCAATGGAAAATGTATAAAAATGATTATGTATGAAGAAATATGAAGTAGGCATGTGTAAATACATCAATACTTCTCCAAGTAGTATGCACACTTTTGACCTATAAGCCCTAACAGAAGCTGTTCAGTGAAGCTATGTGAACACAAATAAACTGCAGCAGATGTGACTGAATATGAATACGTGTTTTTATTCTGTTCAAAATATCATGCATTATTTTGCACTCCTGACATAAACTAAGAAATTACTGTCACTGCAACCGTGTTTTATCATAAGAGTGGTCAAATATCGAAGCTGGAGTCTTAAATCTTTCTAATGATAAACAGTTTGTCCAGATCAAGTAGTTAAGACGTTTTAATGTGCTGTGAATGTAAAACAACAATAATCTGAGGCTGCGGCAATATTTGCATGTTGAGTTAATGGTCAACTCTCAATTCACAATGCTGTCAAAAAGTCATACTGGTTGTGTAATTCAAAACAGTTTATCGCCCAGCACTTGCATACAGGAAGATGTAATGCATACCTTGAAGACATGAGGGCCAAATTAGTGCGATATGCACAGGACAAAGTGATGGTGCCTATGGGAGTGCCTACAATACCCACTCGCACTGTCTGGAACCCTGCAGAGAGAAGTGAAGAAGATACTACAGAACATCTACACATCCTTTATTAGTACTTTGAAGAGAGCCCTTCATACTATTACCTTCCCCGAGACCTGTCAGCTGGACGTCTCCAAAATAGATCCTATCAAAGAGATATTAATCAAATCTGACTGTACATGATATCGTTTTTTCCCCTCTATGAACTCATGTATCAGGCAATATAAGGCTTTGTGGAGTGTAGAAGAAAGTGCGTTGAGTACCTGTAGAGTATGACATAATCATGCCCTTGTTTACGTGAAAGCTTGTAAGCAGGTGTCACCCTTGTGATGGCCAGCAAAGACTTGAGCAGCAGAGACAGCCGATTATAAACTGTATAGGACACTTTAATGTCCTTATCACACCTGGAAGAAAATGCTAACCCAAGTTATGCCCCAGTATAGAAAATATTGACTTGCTGATAATGTATCAATCTCAACACAGAGCAGTTCTCAGCTGACTGCTTTGTCCTGTCTGTATAGGGGAACTGTGTGTGCTTACTTTTCATTCATTTCCAAACACCACGTCTCCAGCTCCATGGAGTCTCCCTGAATGGGTAAACACAACTTCTTAATACTCAAGTAAACATCTTTTTATTAAGTTGGGCATTTTGCCATGATACTTTTATTATATTGATGGTGAACTGAAAGAAAGACTAGACCTCTGAGGTTTTGAGGGAGATCTCCACACACATGGATCGGCCGATGCCAGGCAGCTGTCCAGCAAGAGCTTTTTTTGCTTCATGAGTCACCTCTGGGATGTCTTTTATTGCCAGATTAAACTGAATAAAATCATGAAAACAACCAGACACGCATATCTCATGTTAGGTATGATGTAAACAAAACAGGACCATTGTATGTGAAGTGTCCTGGATGTGTCTTACCCAGTCTGAACCTGTCGGTGATGAAGAGGAGCAAGTGTTGATCTTCTCTCCAAGCCGGGCTTGAACTATAACTTGCACTGTCTGAAAGACACACATAAAGCAAAGGATATCATCACCCTGTCACCTGGGATACCAGATTCCATGCATGCAATAATACCCATAGTACTGTAGTGTTTAATGCAATCACCTTCAAGGCAAAGAATTTGATGAATTTATCCAAGTCTTTCTTGTCCTGTGGGCTCAGATCACTATCCATTGCCGCATGCACCTAAGACATACAAATTAAAGACAGTTTCCTCAGTGCACAGTGAAAAAGCCAATATAAATAACACACTAACTGAAAAAGTACATAATACAACTGAAAGTCAGGTCAATTAGTACAGGTCATATTTTTAAAATAGTAACATATTTAGATACAACATGTACAAGATAAGTGTTATAATGTAAAATACTGCATAGTCTATTCTATACAAAACTGTATTTTTGTTGAATATTTGAATGACTGATGACAGACAAAGCAGATTTAATGAATAGCAAAGATGTCTGAAATGTACATATAACTCATAGAATTACTGCATAATAACCATTGTATTATAACATATTACATTATTATAATATAATAACAATAACATGCCATTAGGGCTTTCGGTGGCAATTCTAGGGCCAAAACGACTACAGAACTTCAAAATATATATATATTTTTTATTTCCATAGATGTAAAAACTTTAATTGGTCCACAAATTCCTAATTAACAAACAGACACAAAATCTTTGATATTCAACATAATGCAATGTCATAGATCACTATTTTCCAAAGATACCAAATTAGATAAGTTAACCTCAAAAATGTTTTGACTAACGAAATCTTAAACTGTCGATATTCAAAGAGTATTCTATGGAGTGTGTGAGTTTGTGTGCCTTCTATAGTCAAGAGGAAAAAAATAAGGTGGGGGTCATCTCGCACCATCCTACTCTAATAATAGTAATAATTAACGAGGCTAGAAGAGATACAGCTGCGGCTACTGGGAACACACTGTACAACAATAATTACTGTTTTTGCATTATTGTAAGGGGTAGGTTTAGGGTTTGTGTAGGTGTAGATGTTCATAAAACAATCTAATAGGCAGAAATATTAATTTAGCATAAATCAATGGAAAATGTATAAAAATGATTATGTATGAAGAAATATGAAGTAGGCATGTGTAAATACATCAATACTTCTCCAAGTAGTATGCACACTTTTGACCTATAAGCCCTAACAGAAGCTGTTCATATAGCAATCAGTGTCAAATGACAGCTGCCAGTTCATCCGACTCAAGATCTGAAAACTGTAGACCTGCCATCTGTTTCTCACAGCCAAACATCTCAAATTGTTTACAATTATCTGTATGTCTGCGCAGCTAATGCTAACCCCTTAGCAAAACATGCGCACATACTTACAGCTCATCGCAGAGCGGAGATTCAACTGTTAACACGTAGAGTAGGAAGTTAAGTGTGCGATACACCGTGGCTGCTTGCGTGAAATGATCAAATACAGCCTAAACGATCCAGTATTTTCAATTAATCACATCGTAGCACCACAGCGTCACACAGTGACAGGCGCCGCATTTTTGTTTATTTTGCTTGTTTGGCTAAGTCAGGAATGACATGTTGCCTGGACCGATTCAACCACGCCACTTTCGTTATTTTTAAAATTTTGAATAAAGAAGTGTATGAAATTATGATATAATAAAATGATATGCACATATGTGTTACATCTTGATATGCACTTAATACGACCTGCACCTAATTTATTTTTAAAAACAACCAATACAAACATCGAAAGTGCAGCCCCTGAACAGGAAATTTATTACGTGAATGACGTCACATTTCAATGTCGGCGTACACAAACAACCGCCAGAGTTTCTCATTTTGTAAATCCATCTTTATCTTTATTTGTTGAGAACAAAATTGCCAAAGAAGTCAACAATGTTTTTTTAGATTTCATTTGGAAAAAAAGAGGTGCTCTCTAATTGCAGAGCAGAAGGAGGTATTGATTTTTTAGAATTTTCTGACATGTTAAACATTTTTTAAATAAATTGGCTTAAAAGATGTCTTGCCAATCCAAGATCCATTTGGTACTTTATCCCCAAACAAATATTTGGAAAAATTGGTAGCCTTTCCTTGCAACTACTCACCTTCTAAGCTACCTATTACCTTGTCCAAATTTCATCAGCAATGTCTCCTTGCTTGGAAACTGTGTTATGTTCATAGTTTTTCACCTCATAACAGTGATATCACTGTCAGAAATAAATCTTTATTTTTCCCTAGGTGGTTCCAAAATAATATTAATTCAAGGTTAATTTAAGGTTAATTCATCTTGTTAAAAGCCACTCCCTATATAATCCAAGAAGAACAGTCACAATACAATCTACTTTGTTCTTGGATGGAACTGATTTTTTAGACAAGAAATGTACCAATAGACATGTACGCCAAATCCTTCAATTCAAGAAAAAAAATTATCCAAGAGGAAAGTTCTATTGGAGATCTTTGGTAGAAGATATAGATTGAAGAAGGGACTGGCTTTTACCTGGAAAATACTGTATTTCCAATAAAGCTAAAGAAATACATTTCAAAATTTTACATAAAATATATCCTGTAAACTCTAATATTTTTAAATATCTGGACATTGACAGTTCATGTGCTTTTTGTAAGCAATCAGAAGAGACATTTGCACATTTGTTTTATGATTGCCCAATATCCAAGCAATTTTGGTCTGACCTTCTCCTATATATTCGATTCGGCCAATGTTACTTATTCTTTCGGTCTAAAAGACATTATTTTTTATTATATTGATGATAAAAATAGACCCATAGTGTATATTGGTAACTTCTTTATTTTATATGGCAAATTCTTTATTCATAAACAAAAGTTTGCAAATAATATTCCATCCTATCCCCATTTTAAAACTGAATTAATATCACTTCTTAAATCTCTTAGTTATATAAATAACAAAAAATCCCTAAGATTTATAAAATATTATGAAGAAATGTTTAAAGAAAATACATGTATTTGTAAAGCTTTCCCTGTATATTAATGTTTGTATTTTATTGTATCAATAGTGGTAATGTATGCATTCTTGTGTCTCCTTGTCTTGTCATCTTTTGTTTTTCATTGTTTTTTGTATAATCCTTTTTTTTCCCCTTTTTGTTTTATTATATGTATTTGTATGTAATTACTTGACAATGTTCTTAAGTTATTGAGCATTAATCAAAAAAAAAAAAATCTTCAATACTTATCTTGCTGGATCTGTCCGCTGCTTTTGATAGTTAAAGAGATAGCTCACCCAAAAATGAAACTTCTGTCATTAATTACTCACCCTCATGTCGTTCCAAACCCGTAAGACCTTCGTTCATCTTCGGAACAAAAATTAAGATATTTGATGCATTCTGACAGCTCCCTGACCCTCCCATAGACAGCAAGGGTCCTACCACGATCAACGTCCAGAAACGTAGCCAGGAGATCTGTAAAATAGTCCATGTGACATTAGGGGTTCAACCGTAATATAACGAAGCTACGAGAATACTTTTTGTGCGCAAAAGAAAAGAAAAAAAACTACTTTATTCAACAATTCGTCTCCTCCGCGTCACCCTTGCGCCATTTTGGAGAGTATCCACTGAACGCAAACAGTGTATGTTGTTCTGTGTCAGCCGCACCACACAGCTTATTTTTTTTCTTTTGCGCACAAAAAGTATTCTCGTAGCTTCGTTATATTACGGTTGAACCCCTAATGTCACATGGACTATTTTACAGATGTCCTCAATACTTATCTTGCTGGATCTGTCCGCTGCTTTTGATACAGTTAAAGAGATAGCTCACCCAAAAATGTAAATTCTGTCATTAATTACTCACCCTCATGTCGTTCCAAACCCGTAAGACCTTCGTTCATCTTCGGAACAAAAATTAAGATATTTGATGCATTCTGACAGCTCCCTGACCCTCCCATAGACAGCAAGGGTCCTACCACGATCAACGTCCAGAAACGTAGCCAGGAGATCTGTAAAATAGTCCATGTGACATTAGGGGTTCAACCGTAATATAACGAAGCTACGAGAATACTTTTTGTGCGCAAAAGAAAAAAAATAAGCTGTGTGGTGCGGCTGACACAGAACAACATACACTGTTTGCGTTCAGTGGATACTCTCCAAAATGGCGCAAGGGTGACGCGGAGGAGACGAATTGTTGAATAAAGTAGTTTTTTTTCTTTTCTTTTGCGCACAAAAAGTATTCTCGTAGCTTCGTAATATTACGGTTGAACCCCTGATGTCACATGGACTATTTTACAGATGTCCTTGCAACGTTTCTGGACGTTGATCGTGGTAGTACCCTTGCTGTCTATGGGAGGGTCAGATTCCATCAAAAATATCTTTTCATTTTTGGGTGAACTATCCCTTTAACCACTAGATCCTCCTGTCAACCCTATTGGGAAAAGGGCATCTCAGGAGCCGCACTTCAGTGGTTTGACTCTTACCTAGTCTCAGCCTCAGACGTCACGCCCACGGACCGCGGGCTGAAAGTCTGATGCATATGGCACACAAAAGTGGAAATACTTCAGGAGTTTCGAAGTCGTCATCGGATTGGGTGAATTATACAGGATTTCCGGGAGACGTGAAGCAAAGATGCCCTGACGCCAAACCCCCTCACGAAAGAAGAAAGCCGTCGTGTTTACAACTGTGACGACGAGCACTTATCAGGATCAACTAAACGCTGGATTTTCAAAAGTATGTGAAATATTTAAAGTACGCGGCATCTTTAAAATACGTCTGAGAGTTTTACACTGTCTGTTATTGTGGCGACATTTCCACGCCCTGAAACGTGACGCTGAATGAAACGAACTGTGATAGGTTGTTTGACATGTCGGTCAAACGGCCTCATGGGCGGGCCTTGGCCAATGAAAGCTGCCGTGGATTCCGAAGTCGTCATCGGATTGGGTGAATTATACAGGATTTCCGGGAGACGTGAAGCAAAGATGCCCTGACGCCAAACCCCCTCACGAAAGAAGAAAGCCGTCGTGTTTACAACTGTGACGACGAGCACTTATCAGGATCAACTAAACGCTGGATTTTCAAAAGTATGTGAAATATTTAAAGTACGCGGCATCTTTAAAATACGTCTGAGAGTTTTACACTGTCTGTTATTGTGGCGACATTTCCACGCCCTGAAACGTGACGCTGAATGAAACGAACTGTGATAGGTTGTTTGACATGTCGGTCAAACGGCCTCATGGGCGGGCCTTGGCCAATGAAAGCTGCCGTGGATTCCAGACGGTCTGGCTATGCGAGACTAACTCTTACCTCTCAGATAGGTCCTTCAAGGTATCTTGAGGGGTCTGGAATCAAGGAGGAGTGAGGTGTCCAAGTCGCAACGTCTAGCTACTGGGGTGCCTCAGGGCTCAGTTCTTGGACGACTTCTCTTCTCTGTCTACATGGCATCACTAGGTTCAGTTAGGGCTGGGCGATATGGGTAAAAATTCATATCTCGGTATTTTTTGTGGATTCCAGACGGTCTGGCTATGCGAGACTAACTCTTACCTCTCAGATAGGTCCTTCAAGGTATCTTGAGGGGTCTGGAATCAAGGAGGAGTGAGGTGTCCAAGTCGCAACATCTAGCTACTGGGGTGCCTCAGGGCTCAGTTCTTGGACGACTTCTCTTCTCTGTCTACATGGCATCACTAGGTTCAGTTAGGGCTGGGCGATATGGGTAAAAATTCATATCTCGGTATTTTTTGGCCGATTTGCGATATACGGTATATATCTTTGTATTTTCATTTTTGTATTTGGATTTAAAATCTGTATTTAATATATATATATATATATATATACAGTGCCTTCATTTTTTTTCACATTTGTTATGTTGCTGCCTTATTTTAAACTGCTTAAATGTACTTTTTCCCCACATCAATCTACACTCCATACACCATATTGACAAAGCAAAAACAGAATTGTCACAACTTCGTAAATTAATAAAAAAAAAAAAAACAACTGAAACCAAAATAAGTACATTGCATAAGTATTCATACCCTTAGCTAAATATTTTGCTGAAGCACCTTTCACCTCTCAAGCTCTGTCAAGTTGGATGGGGGTAGACGCACATTTTCAGGTTTCTCCAGAATACTTGATTGGGTTCAAGCTCAGGCTCTGTCTGGGCCACTCAAGGACATTCACAGAGTTGTCTATAAGCCACTCTTGCTTTGCACTTAGGTCCATTGTCCTGTTGGCAGGTGAACCTTCTGCCCAGTCTGAGGTTCTGAATGCTTTCATTAAGGCTATCTCAATTTTTGGTGCACTGAGCTTTTCTTCTACTCTTATGAGTCCCTCAGTCCCTGCTGCTGATAAACAGCCCCACAGCATGAAGCTGCTACCAGCACACTTTACTTTTGGGATGGTACTCTGCAGGTGATGAGCAGTGCCTGGTTTCCTTCAAACATGATGCTTGGAATTGAGGTTCATCAGACCAGAGAATATGATTTCTCACAGTCTGAGGGTCCTTTAGGTGCTTTTTTTTTCAAATTCTAAGTGTGTTTTCATGTGTCTGCACTGAAGAGAGGATTGAGTCTTGCCACACCACCATAAAGCCCAAATCGATGGAGTGTTGCAGTGGTGTTTGTCCTTCTGTAGATTTCTCCTATCTCCACATATGATCTTTGTTATTTTTAATACATTTGCGAAGATGTTAAAAACCTGTTTTCTTGCTCTATCATTATGATGTATGGAGTATAGATTGATGTAGAAAAAAAGTAATTTAAAGCAGTTTAGCATAATGCAGCAATATAACAAAACGTGAGAATACTTTGGCAAGGCACTGTGTGTGTGTGTGTGTGTATAGGCCTATATATATATATATATATATATATATATATATATACTGTATATATAAAAAAATTAATATATGTGTG